TATATATATATATATATATATATATATATATATATATATATATATATATATATATATATATACAGAGAGAGAGAGAGAGAGAGTTACCTGTTTGTCACTGTTGCTGGCAGCCATAACCGCTGATCTTGAGAAACCTGTGTACATTATTTAAGTTGTAATTAAGTTCTGTGTGTACTCATATCATGTGGAACTTGCTGGTGTGACTCGGATCTTGATTGCCATGCACACCAAAAGGCAGGAAGCCAAGATCTTGATCTGCTGTCGCGGATCAATCCAGTGGTTTGGAGGTGGATCTCGTTCTCTTTGACGCGATTGGCAGCCTGTGGCAAGATCAGCAGAGGGCGTGGTAGGGAGCTGACGTGCGCAAGTGCAGAGAAGACCGTGCACAGGATGAAAGCGCTAGCTGGAGGGAACAGTGTGTGCAAGTAAGAGAAGTGCACAGACAGGAGAAGAGACACACGGACAAGAGGGAGGAGTGCTTGCTAAGAAGTGGCATATCTTGGAGGCGTGCGCTTGATTGGAGCAGCACGCAGCAAGATGTCAAAGCCACACAGGAGAGGTATGGGCGCTTAAGAGGTAGCCACGCCAAGTCAGAAAGGCGCCTCGAGGAGGAGCAGCACACGGTGGCACATAATGAGTGCGCGAGTGTTAGAGAACACACAAGCAGAGAGAAACTGCGCAGGTGTTCTTGCCCGTGTGTGAAAGGGTGGCAGAAAAAAAAGCAGCACCCAATTTCAACAAAAAGGGGGGGCCTCCCTAAGGCAGCAGGCTAGCTCAGTTGTTACACCGGGGATCTGTTCAGATACAGAGACAAGTTTGAACTCCGGTTGCAGCCAGGGATGCAGAGGAGCAAGTTGCAGCGCCGTGGAAAGTGGAGCACGGTGTGACCAAGGCAGGCAACATTCACGTGGAAAAGAGGCTGGCATATGGAGAAAAAGAAGCCAGCATGTGTGGTACAAGGCCAGCTTGAGGAAGAAGAAGGCGGCACAGTGAAAAAAAAAAAACGGGATTGGCTGCGGTAGAAAGAAAAAGGTTGAAAGGGGAAGAGAGAAAGCATGTACCTGAAGCGTCAGTGAGTTTGCACAGGCGACCTACGGGCATCACAGAGCAGGGAAGACTCTTCAGCAAGCTTGAAGTGAAGTCCCCTGATGCCCTGAGCCCTGAATGACGGCATGCCTGATTTTGATTGTCTGTCCCACGGTCTTTCCTGGGTTGAGCTGGTGTCATTGTCTTTGTTGTTGTCGTCATTCGGTCTTTAAGCGTTGAGGGGCAGCCGTGTACCCGGCAACTCCGCGTACAGTAGCAAACACGGGCATTGAGCGGCGTGCCCTCGTTAAAAAGCCTACCCAAGGACTGGCATTGACCGGCATGCCCAGTTGGGCGATGTACATACAAAACCGAGGATCCGCAATGTGATAAAAAGGACTCAATGGACAATGCAGTGCCCGTAGAATCTCAACAAGCAATGTGCATTCCGATACATGCAAAATGGTGCTTTATAGCGCAGGGAAGACTTGGATACAAGATCTGACCTGACCGGGACTGACCCCCTTTCACGTAGTACAAGATGGCGAAGCAGAATGCTAGAATACTATGACTAGCCCAATCAATGTCTCAACGTAGACTAAACATACATCATGCTCATCACGAGGTGTGAAGCCATGCACAGACGAAGAGGAGGGGAGCAGATGAAGAGGAGGGGAGAGATGGGAAAGTCGTCAACACCAAGTCTCGTTACAAGTCCCGAATAATCCCTCTTCGATATGTCTGAAGTCCAATGTCGAGTCTGGATCCAAATGTCACCAAGCTCTCTCTCTCTCTCTCTCTCGCAGTCTGCTGATGCAGTGAAGTCAGATAGCGAGAGGGTGAGAAGGAGATGGTGGACTGAGAAGAGGAAGAAGAAGAAGAACTCTCTCCCTCATGTGTCAGGTACTAACCTGTGAAGATGGCGCTATGCTGCAGGTACCTCAAAGACGAAGCTGGAGCAACGGCGCTGCAGGTAAGTATCCCTGGCCTCCGCCCAATCTCTCTCTCTAGTACTACTCTAGCTATGGCGCCCAGCGCTGAAGACTACTGCTAACGCTAGTACTACTCCTGCAGCGCCCCTCCAAAGTGCTGCTGCCGAATCCGGAAGACTACCTCCTGCCTCCTGACTGCACGTGAAGTGCCTGGGAAGTACCTATGAACTACCTCCCTGCCTGTAGGGCGGGCCAGTCTTATATAGTGCTGGACCGTCCAGGAGGCTGCTCTTGCCATTGCCCAAACGTGCTAGACCCTGAGGAAGCTGCCGGGAAGTTTCAGGTAGCTTCTGGCTAAAGCCTGAGGAAGCTTCCGAGAAGTTTCCAGGTAGCTTCTGGCTAAAGCCTGAGGGCCTATAAGCCCTTGTTTTCAGGCTGTCAGGCTGAAACGACATGGGGTCTGTAGGCCCTGGTTTTCAGGCTGTCAGGCTGAAACAGACACGGGGCCGGTAGGCCCTGGTTTTCAGGCTGTCAGGCTGAAACAGACACGGGGCCTGTAGGCCCTGGTTTTCAGGCTGAAAATGACACGGAGCCTGTAGGCCCTTGTTTTCAGGCTTTCAGGCTGAAACTGACACGGCGCCTGTAGGCCCTCGTTTTCAGGCTTTCAGGCTGAAAATGACACGGGCCTGAAAATGGCCCGTGCAGCCTGTTGCAGGCGCAGCATGTAACACCACCCCTGCATAGTTGCAGCACAACACACACCCTCAGCACATGACACACATGAGACCTTCCTTGGCACAGCCACATCATCCATCTACGCAGCCACCAACTCCAGGTGAACATCTCCTGGCAGGTTACCGTGCTTCTATACTGTTCACTATATTGGCCAGGGTCCATCTGCAGCCACATGGAATCAAATCGGTGATCTCGGCCAACTGTGACGCGGTGTTCAAAACTGAAGCCATACCCATCGTGACATTCAGCCCACCCCTGCACAGCTGCAGCACAGCACACATGCTCAGCACATGACACCCATGAGAGCTTTTGTAGGCACGGCCACACCATCTGCATGCCCTATCTATGCAGCCCCCAAATTCGTGTTGAACATCTCCTGGCAGGTTACTGCACTTGTATACTGTTCAGTATGTTGGCTGAGGTTCATCCGCAATCACATGCAATCGAACCGCTTATTTCGTCCATAACAGGCAGATGCCTTTACCACCGCAACTGTGACTTCGTGTTCAAATGAAGCCACAACGGTCATGACATTCAGCCCACCCCTCCACAATTGCAGCATAGCACACACACTCCACACATGACACCAATGAGACCACCTGTACGCACGAACGCACTATCCACATGGTATATCTATGCAGCCACCAATCCAGGTGAACATCTCCTGGCAGTTTACCACACATGTAACTGATCGGTGTATTAGCCAAGGTCCATCCACAGCCACATGAGATCAAACCGGTGATCTCGGCCATGACAGGCAGATGCTGTTACCAGTGCAACTGTGACACGGTCTTCAAAACTGAAACCATACCAGTCGTGACATTCAGCCCACCCCTGCACAGTTACAGGACAACACACACACTCACCACACGACACTCATGAGCAGGGGACGGCCACAGCATCAGCATGACCTATCTACGCAGCCACCAAATCCAGGCGAACATCTCCTGGCAGGTTACCACGCTTGTATACTATTCAATATATTAGTCAGGGTCCATCTGCAGCCACAGGGAATCGAACCGGTGATCTCGGCCATAACAAGCAGATGGCTTTTACAAGGCGGTGTTCGAAACTCAAGTGATACCGCTTGTGACATCCAGCCCACCCCTGCGCAGTTGCAGTGTAACACAAACACTCAGCACATGACCCCCATCAGGCCTTCTGTAGGCACTGCCACACTATCCACAGGACCTATCTCCGCAGCCACGAAATCCAGATGAACATCTCCTGGCAGGTTACCGAGCTTGTATACAGTTCAATATATTAGCCAGGATACCGCTCGTTGTCCTGTTCGAAATGGAAAAGAATTCCTCAACACTGTCCTTTAATGCCCGTAGCCAATATGGTAATCTTCCACAGCCCGGTAGTTGAGTCTGGCCAGGTTAAATCAATGCTAGGTAGATTGATTTAGGGTCATGTGGGCTAGAGTCAGCGTGCATAGAACTCAAGTCCGGGGGTAATTCCAAATGTACAGTGTTAACGAATGTGGCATACCTGAGCTAACTGCTGTACTATCTTTCCAAAATGGATAATTGTCGCCTGTTCGGTATTCACCACTCACAAACTGGGCGGGCAGCTACAACGGCGCCTCACCCAAAGGCTGGGTGGGTGAGTGCTGGTGCGAAGGTAGGCGGGGTGTGTTGCTGGTGGAAGGTGGAGGACGTTACGTGCTACAAGGCGATGTGGCTTGATGAGTATGATGGTGCACGAGGGCACCATGTGGTGTTAAGCGACGCAGTCAGGGGAGGTGATTGATCATCTTGAGGAGGGTGTTATGCATTTGGGCGACGCAGTCAGGGGAGGTGATTGATCATCTTGAGGAGGGTGTTATGCATTTGGGCCCCAGGCTTCTGCCTGGATTCCTCTTATCTTCCCATATTATCTGTCTCCCACCCTTCCCTGTCTTCAGCAGGTCTTAGGTCGTGGGATTGAGTGAACTTTCTATGAGGCTGCATCGACAAGCTTGACGTTGTTACTTGCAACGCAATCACGTTTGGGTGGTAGTAAGGAGGCGGGGGAGTCCCACCGATCTCTTTTGGCAGGTGCATTTTCTTTCCATGGTCGAGCACTGGCTATGGAGAGGAGTTACTCCACGCAGGAAGAGGAAGGGGTTGAGTTTGGTCTAGACAGCTGGAGCGGGGCACGGTGGCAGCAGAGCGTTACATGATGGCGCACCATGAATGGCGACTTTGGGAGATCATGACTTCTCGTGGTGCTTGGGAGTTCTACTATGGCAGGCGGCTCAAGTCTTCAATGTGGTGGTTATTCTGAATTTTCTAGATGGCTATTCATAAATTTTGTCCGGCAACCGCTGCTTCTTAAGTCTTACATCCTTAATTCATTTTCCTCTTAAACTCTCATCAGCATTTTCTTGGTTCGTAATTTCGAGTTTCCTTTGAGATCATATTCAAATTTTTAGTTCCTGTGCTTTTGCGTTTCTAAGTCATAATTTCGGGATTCATATTTTTGAAGGCTTCCATCTTCACGGGATTTTTCTCGAAATTCTCCAAACTTTCCCATGCATACGTCACCACGCTTGTAGTTACACTCTGTAGGGATTAAGCCAGTCCTTGGAGGATCTCTGACCGTGTCTCCGAGATGCAGTTGAACAGGGAGTTCGTGAACGTGAGGTGTAGGTGGGATCTCAGACCAGACGTGGCAAGGCACAAAGCAATGTCTTCTCTGTATTTAGGTTGATTACTGACGTACTTACTAGCACATGTAGAGAACCTAAGTCCAATATGGACCTAACACACCTGAGGCGCACTGCAGACTTAATCTTAAATGAAAATGAAAAAGATGAGAGCATATGATGGAACCCGTAAACCATTCGAATCTCCTTTCGAATGGAGCAGAGGCAATGTTTCAGGATTCGCTCCGCCTTAAAGTCTTGCTTCCTATTGTCATCGCCGTTGGGGACGCATGGATGAACGCATACATAAATCAAGTAAGCTACTGCGGAAACTCTGATGCCACACTTCGTGCCGGCACACGGACAAGAAAGTTGAAGGCATTCCCGAATTTTCTTGGTAGAGGCAACAAGAGGTTCGCTTGCATTAAGGGTCTTTGTCTTACATGATCAATATGATTCTCCTTCTAACAAAGAAAATCATATGTAAAACACAGGCCGGGTTGACAGAGATTTCACAATGACCAATAGAGTAATGGAAGTCTCCAAGTTGACTTGCGTTTAACGTATTTGCCCTTATTTATCCTTATGAAACCTAACTCTAAATTGACTATACCATGCTGTGTTTCCTATTGTCCGCACCGGCGCATTCAATATCATTATTTTGCTTGCATCACTCGGTCGGAGGTTCCCGCATATTCCTGCATATAGCCAGATTTTGTCTTTGATGCTGAAGAAAATACCCCTTTGTCGAGGATTTCGCTTGTTCATGCTATTCGCTTGCTTTTAGCTACTTGCTACCTTTTTCAAGGCAGACCGGACTTGATCCTCTACTATAAATTAGTATAAATTGAGTTTGTTTGGAGTCACCAACTTCCTTCTACTGCCGGCGCTGGGCAGTCGTCAACCCCCATACGTAGTCTTACGACGGAGACCTGTGTTTTTGGTAAACAGTTGCCTGGGCCTGGTCACTGCACCCTCCTGTATAAGGAGGTACCCCTTCTCCCAAAGTTACAGGGCCATTTTTCCGAGTTCCTTAGAGAGAGTTGGCGGTTGTCTGGGAGTGCCTTTACCACTCACTGATTTTTCCCAATCTTCTACAGTTTGGTCAGTGATTCCAAGTGGAAAATGCAGAGCCATTACCCCTCATAAACAATTTGCTAGGTAGGTGACGAGGGTGCAAGTATTTTTCCAAGATAGACTTGAAGCCCGGTTTGCGATCAGATCGAAGCGGCACCTGATGATGATCACAGAACAACTTTCAAGACTAGGTACGGCCACTTACAACTTTAATGCGATGCCTCACGGTCTGACTGATGCCCCAACAAACTTCTGGTGTTGTACCTGACCAGTACCTCGCCCAGCTATTTTTCTCTGACGGCGCGTTAACGGCCGCGTCGAAATGGGGTCGTTGCAATGAACAGCCGGTCGCAGCCAAAATGGGTGTAGAATGGAAAGAAAAAAGAAAAAAAAGATGAGCGTTTTGGACTCCCTGAATGTCGGGGAGGGTCATCCATCAGGCCGTGCTCACGTATGTTCTTAGGAGAATGTATGGAACGACTATACCCGTGAGATGCAAAATGTTCTGGTTTTCTTTTTTTCTTTGTTTTCGGTCCCCTGCCAGCGCGGCACGGCGTATCCTAGGATGTACTCCAACAAACTCGTTGAGGGCAAACTTGGACAAACTTGGACTGGCACGTAGACGAATGTATCCAACCAGTTTTAGCGGTATTCTTTTTTTTTCCCTTCTTTTACTTTCATGATTCTGACTGCAAGGAGACATTTCTCTTTTCTTTTTGTCTTCTTTTGCTTTACAGATTCGGACAATAAGGCGATGGGGCTGATACGCCCACACGTAGGGCATGCTCACACAATCACTTCCAAGAACGTATCGAACTGCATTCACGTCCTACCGTTGTTGCTGTTTTTTTTCTTTTCTTTATTTATTTTTTGCTACCGGTTCCACACTCAGCCTCTCCAGATACTGGTACCTCCAGGCTCGGCATGCTAGGCATACCGATCGCCTGAGGGTCGGACTGCATAGCTGGGCCAGATACTGGTCGTTTAATCATCCCTTCACATAGCAATCAATGTCGGAAAGGTATTTGAGATTAAATGTATCATTTGACTCCTACTCATGTAAAGGGAACTGGGTCCCATTCCTTTGCATGGAAAGGGGTCATACCATCAATGATACATAACATCTCAAATACCTTTCCAGTATTGAAAATGTCCTCCCCACCAATGAAAGAAAAGTGATCATAACTCAGCGAACCCTCCGTTTGGGCTTCCCAGAATACAACACACGCTCATCATGACTATACCAGACCCGGGATGATAGCACGATACATTCATGATCACGGTGTGGTGTTCAATGGAAGTCGGTAGGGACTGACACATTCATGATCATGGTGTGGTGTTCGATGGAAGTCGGTAGGGACTGACACAGTGGTGAAGCACATGGTGACGTAGTGCACTGACGTGGACGGCAGCAGCCAAAGAAGTTCCTGCGGAGAAGTCCTCAGTCCCACCAGGGGTGAACAACAGGTGACCACACCCACACCCACCTGACCCACAAGGTCATGGGTGAGGTCTGGATCTAGCCAAGCCGGCCTAGGTGGATCAC